ATCTCTGTAAGACAACTCTCAAATGCTCCGCGTGCTCCTCCTGACTACATGAGTACACCAGAATATCATTAATGAATACTATAACAAACGAATCAAGATAACACCGGAACATGCTGTTCATCAAATGCATGAACGTTGCTGGGGCATTGGTTAGCTTGAAAAACATAACAAGAAACTCATAATGACCATATCTGGTCCTAAAAGCAGTCTTAAGAATATCTGAATCCCTGATCTTCAACTGGTGATAACCCGAACGGAGATCAATCTTGGAGAACACCCTCGCTCCCCGAAGCTGGTCAAATAGATCATCAATACGAGGCAAATGATACTTGTTCTTAATTGTTACCTTGTTCAATTACCTATAATCGATGCACATTCTCATTGTGCCATCCTTATTCTTCACAAACAGAGCCGGCGCACCCCAAGGTGACACACTAGGCCGAATAAACTCCTTATCTAGGAGTTCTTGAAGCTGCTCGTTCAATTCTTTCAACTATGCTGGTTCCATACGATACGGCAGAATTGAAATGGGTTGAGTTCCCGACACCAGGTCAATACCAAAATCAATATTCCTGTCCGGTGGCATGCCCGTCAGGTCTACAGGAAAAAAATCGAGAAAATCCCTCACAACTGGAACAGAATCAATGCTAGGAGTCTCAGCTCCAACATCCCTCACAAACGCTAGATATGAAAGGCAACCCTTCCCAACCATACGCTAGGCCTTTAATAAGGAGATCACTCTACTAGGAACGTAATCAATCACACCAAGCCACTCGATCCGCGGTACACCCGGCATAACCAAAGTGACTGTCTTAGCATGACAATCTAGAATAGCACGACATAGAGATAACCAATCCATGCCCAAAATGACATCAAAATCCACCATACTCAATAGCAATAGATCTACCCGGGTCTCAAGACCCCCAATAGTCAACACACATGACCGGTACACATGGTCTACAACAATAGTGTCTCCCACAGGGGTAGATACATGAACAGGTAAAGCAAGAACCTCCTGGGACGTACCCAAATAATGAGCAAAATACGAGGACACATAAGAAAAGGTGAAACTGGGATCAAATAATATAAATGCATCCCTGTGGAAGACTGAAACAATACCTGTAATGACAACATCCAAAGCAATAGCATCTAGCCTGCCTGGAATAGCATAGAAACGAGCCTGCCCACTGCCTAATCGACCTCCCCCTCTAGGACGACCTCTGGCTGCTTGACCTCCACCCCTAGCTGGCTGGGCAGGTGGTGAAGTAACTGGAGCAGAAGTCGAGGGCTGACCCCTTTGTTGAGACAAGCTAGAAACACAATGAGGACACTGCCTCCACATATGCCCAAACTCTCCACACTCAAAACAACTCCCAAGTGATGGAGAAGGGGACTGAAGGGAACCCCTTTCACCGGTGTGACTAGCAAATGCACTCGGCGTAGAAGAACCCTGAGCTGACGAGGCACGAGATGAACTCTAAGCTGGGCGGGCGCTGAGTGATGATTAGCCCTGCTGAGCCCCATGATAACCACGACCTAAAGATACCCCGCGATACTCTGGACAGGCTGACTGAGCAGGCTTGAAAGAATGGCCTCTACCATACTAAAACTGGCCCCTTGATGGAGCACCACTATAACTGCCCGATCCTCGAGGCCTTTTGGCCTCCCGCTCCTCTTGATCCTGCCGGCGAACTGTCTCAATATCACGGGCGATATCAACAACCTCCTCAAAGGTGGCACCCGTCACGCTCTCTCTAGTCATAAGAATATAGAGATGATAATTAAGGCCATCAACAAATCTCCTGATCCTCTCACGATCTGTTGGAACCATCCAGATGGCATGACGAGCCAACTCAAAGAACCTCCTCTCATACTAGGACACGGTCATATCCCCCTGTCGCAACCACTTGAACTGCCTATGCAGCTCCTCTCTGCGGGACTGCGGCACATACTTCTCCAAGAAGAGAGAGGAGAACTGTTGCCAAGTAAGGGGTGCTGCCCCGATAGGCCTACGCCTCTCAAACTCCTCCCACCAAGTGAAGGCAACCCCCGAGAACTGAAAGTTGGTAAATGCCACACCACTAGACTCAAGAATCCCTACTGTACGGAGCACCAGTATCCTTGCCCACTGAGCACCACTCAAGAATCCGCTGACACTTATCCAGAAAACCTTGGGTATCCTTGCCCTCAGCACCACTGAATGACGGAGGCTGGAGTCTACCAAACCTCTCAAGAAGATTCTGCTCATTATCCGATATAACTGGTACCATGAACTCCTGAGCTAGTGCAACTGGCTGGGTTGGAGGTGCCCCCAGCATTTGTAGTCCCTGCACTACCTGCTAAGGTGTGCGAGCAGCGGGGGTCTGATTGCCTGCCCCGGCCTGTGAAGTGGCTGCTGCTGTGGTGGCTGAAATTGCCCGAGCCAGGCCAGTGCAAACTGACAAGATCTGTGCCAAGGCCTCTTGAAGACCCAGAATAACAATGGGCACAACTGGTGCCTGAACCGGTGCTGCTGGAGCATCCATAGCTGGAGCCTAATCCTGAGCTGGGGTAGCTGGTGGATCAACAGGTGCTGCCCTCGCTGCTCAGCCTCTACCACGACCACGACCGCATCCTCGGCCTCTGGTGGTCTCAGTGGGTCGCACTGGGGGTCGTCCACCTCGTCTGGTAGATCATGTCCTCACCATCTATGAGAGAATAGAATGACAGAAGTTTAGTACTCGAAGCAACAAGTTTGCACGACAAGAATTTCAAGAATATGAAGTTTTTCCTAAAGGTTCTGCAGTCTCTCGAGGATAAATACAGACGTCTCCGTATCGATCCGCGAGACTCTACTAAACCGGCTCATGACTCGCGATACCTAAGTAACCTAGGCTCTGATACTAACTTGTCACGACCCCAAATACCGGTCGTGATGGTGCCCAACACATTGCTAGGCAAGCCGGATGAACTCTCAACCACAACACATTTCCTTATAAAATCCATTATCGGCTAACCCGGTTTAATTACCAATTTAACATCGTAAATGTCTAAAATAACAAGTTAGATATGGAAGTCAATAAGATATCGCAACTCACAACCCACACTGATCTGGTGTCACAAGTCTAGAGCCTCTAATACAAGTTTGAACAACCTACTACATAGACAGTCTAAGAAATTGCAGAAAAACGATAGAACAGAAGGGAGAAATCAAGGCTGCAGCACCATGCAACTGCCTCAATATCCCCGACAATTGCTGAACGACTGGAAAGCTCTCACTCAACCTCTGGAGCACCTGGATCTGCACACAATGTGCAAGGAGTAATGTGAGTACTCCGACCTAGTGAGTAATAAACATAAATAACGACTGAGAGTAAGAAAACACGTATACACATGGTACTCTATAATAAAGCAATTAAATAAGTAATTTGTAAGCAGTAAGCCAATGAAAAACAGAATGAGATACATTTACAACAGATAAACAGGTAATTGGCAGACAATTAAGATAAAGTAAACACACAGAAGTTCGCCCCTCGGGCACAGTATCAACAATTTCTGCCCCTCGGGCTCAATCTCTCATCACAATTTGTACCCGCACTCACTGGGGGTGTACAGACTCCGGAGGGGCCCCTTACGGCCCAAGCACAATATCAAGCCATCTCGTGGCATCAAATCTAGACCCTCGGCCTCATATCACTCAAGCTACCTCATGGCGTATATATGTATCTCAGGCCCTCGGTCTCATATCAGTATCAGTGTATCCTCACATCTGTCCCTCGGCCGTACTTAGTCCAAAATCACATAAGCCCCTCGGGCATTAGTAAAATAGTAGTTCTCAGCCCAAAACATCATTTAATATATCATTTAAGTCTCAAAACCGAGTAAAAGTGGATGAGTTGTAAAACAGGGGAAAACAGTACGACTGAGTTTAAGTAATAAGTCAAAACAGTGAGGAAATAGTGATAAAAATCTCCAAAGGGTTCAAATAGTTGGCACGAAGCCCAAATATGACAATCAGTCCAAATCATGATGATAACAAATAAGTTTCAGTCAAATACACGAAAAAATCATCAATCGGGATGGACCAAGTCACAATCCCCACTAATAAACGACCCCACGCTCATCATCAAGCGTGTGACTCACCTAAATATAGCACTACGATGTGCAAATATGGGGTTTCAAACCCTCAGGACATCATTTACAATCATTACTCTCCTCGAATCGGCTAAACCTCTAGATCGCGACGCCTTTGCCCCTCGAATCAGCCTCCACGTGCATCGAATCTATCCAAAATCAGAACGAGTACGTCACATAATGCTAAGGGAATAAATCCCAATCGAAAATATCAAAAATCTCGAAATTAGCAAAACCCGAGCCCCAGACCCACTTCTTGAAACTCAAATATTTTCACATCAACGGGTTCCCTATCCTTCCACGAGTTCGTACATATCAAAAGTTCTCAAATCCGACCCCAAATGGTCCTCCAAATCCCCAATCAAAGATTTAAAATCCCAAGCCCTAGTTTTTCCATTTTTAGCTTAAGTTCCATGATATTCTAGATTGATTTTACAATAGAATCACATTTTAGATTCAAAGATCTTACCTCCAATCGATTATCCTTGAATCCCTCTTTAATCTCCTTCAAAAAGCTCTCAAAATGATCAACTATGGAGGAAAAATGCCACAAAATCGCGGATGAAATGACTTAAAAACATTCTTCCCAGTTCTGCCCTTTCTTCATCGCGATCGCGACCTTAGCCTCGCGATCGCGAATCACATTTTTAAATTTTCCAAAAATAACCTTATGCGAATGCAACCTGGTCCCTGCGAGCGTGATGCTTCAGCCTTTTACACCTACGCGAACGCGATCCCCCACACGCGAACGTGAAGAACAAATACTCTTAGGCCCCTCGGACACCAACTCCTCTATGCGATCGCAAGTATCCTCTCACGAATGCGATACACATTTCTCCAGCCTTTCGCGATCGCGAGGACTCCTATGTGAATACGAAGGTTTAAATTCAGGCCTTCCCAATCCCTTCTACGCGATCGCAGTTCACCCTATGCGATCGAGAAGGGTTAATCTCTTCAACATCTGAACTCCCAAAATCTGCAAATTCCAAATACCAAAAATTATCCGATTGACCATCCGAAACTCACCCGAGGCCCCCGAGACCTCAAACAAAGGCACCCATCCTAAAACCTTTTTCAAACTTGTTCCTATCATCAAAATATCTCAAACAACATCAAATTACCCAAAACTCATCGAATTCAAGCCTAAGTTTTCTAAAACCTTCCGAAATACGCTTTCGATCAAAAACCCAACCAAACTACGTCCGAATGATATGAAATTTTGCACACACATCCCAAATGACATAACAAAGCTACTGCAACTCTCGGAATTCCATTTCGACCCCCGTATCAAAATCTCACATATCAATCGGAAATCGCCAAAATACCAACTTCGCCAATTCAAGCCTAATTCTACATCGGACCTCCAAAACCAATTCCGATCACACTCTGAAGTTATAAATCACCTATCAAAGCTAACCAAACCATCGGAACTCACATCTGATCCCTCTAACACATAAGTCAATATCCGGTTGACTTTTCCAACTTAAACCTTCTTAAAAGAGACTAAGTGTCTCATTTCTCACCAAATCCTCTCCGAACGCAAACTACTAAACTTGATCACATAAAACACGGATAACAAAGCATAAAGAAGCAGAAATGGGGAAAACAGAGCGGTAACTCATGAGACGACTGGCTGGGTCGTTACAACAATGAAAACTAAAGTACTCTTTCTACATCATGAAAAAAGTACTCTTTTAGTTGAAAAAACAAAAATACTTTTTCTATCATGAAAAGAAAGTACTTATTTTATTGAAATGAAATGTATACTTTTTTTTGGTTAAACTTTTAAAATTTTATTTAACCAGATGTGACGACTCGGCCGGTCGTCGTAAGAATTAATGCCTCGATCCCCTATTAACTGCTTTCTAAAAATTAATTTTTGCTAATGTGATTTGCCAGGATGTTCGATTTTGAGTTTCAGAGAGTTTAAGTGTTGGAAAGTTGACTGTAGTCGGAACTGTGGGAAGACGACCTCGAAATGGAAATCCGATGGTTCTCTTAGCTCCATTAGGTGATTTCAGGCTTAGGGACGTGTTCGGATTAAGTTTTGGAAGTCCGTAGCTAATTTAGGCTTGAAATCATGAAAGTTGAATTTTGAAGTTTCCGGTTCGATAATGAGATTTTGATCTGAGGGTCGGAATGGAATTCCAAGAGATGCAATAGTTTCGTTGTGTCATTTGGGATGTGTTTGCCAAATTTTAGGTCATTCAGACGTGGTTTGGTTGGGTTTTTGATCAAAAGCGGAATTAGTAAGATTTTAGAAACTTAGGCTTGAATCTGATGTGTTTTGGTTGTTTTGACGTTGTTTGAAGTGTTTTGAAGATTGGTACAAGTTTGAATAAAGGTTTTAGGATGTGTTGATGCCTTTGGTGAGGTCCCGGGGGCCTCGGGGTGATTTCAGATGGTTAACCAGAAAGTTTGAGGAATGTTGCAGCTGCTATATTTTTGCTGCTTCTGGTATTTTTGCATCTGCGGTTTGGGGAACGCAGATGCGGCACCGCAGAAGCGGCTAACAGGCTGCAAAAGTGAATTTGATGGAGGCCAGCAGGTTCCGTAGATGCGAGGGATTTTCCGTAGAAGCGGAACGACATCTGCGAGTTTGAGGCCGTAGGTATGGAAATTGGCCATTTAATGAAAAGTCGCAGATGTGACAAAGTCTCCGCAGAAGCGGGACCACAAATGCGGTAATCGCTGGGCACAAAATATAAATAGTTGCCTTTGTGAAATTGAGCTATTCTTTCACTATTTTCATCCGGGTTTGAAGCTTTTGAGAGAGATTTTTAAGGAAAACAAAGGGGGATCACTTGGAGGTAACATCCTTGGCTTCATAACTCGTTTTTATGGGATTAAAGACATAATTAGTGGTGAGAAATTTGGGAAAAATGGGTAACTAGGGCTTGAGATTAAGAGGCCCTTAAATGAGGATTTGAGTGGACAATTGGACCCCGATTTCAGTGTTATTGTTATGTATAGACTCGTGAGAGTATGGGGTTTCTGAAAATGTAAATTCCACCTGATTCTGAAACGTGGTCCCGAGGGGCATTTTGGTCATTTTACATAATTTCGCGTATTAGCTTAGAATTTAATTGTAGAATCAGTTACTTGAAGTGTTATTTATGTTATGCAATTGGATTGAATAGATTTGGGCCATTTGGAGTCGAGTACTCGTGGCTAAGGTGTGGTGTCGGGTTGATTTTGAGCTGGTTCGAGGTAAGTGGCTTGTCTAACCTTGTGTGGAGGACCTTCCCCTTAGGATTGGTATTTGGTAATTGAAATGCCTTGTACGTAAGGTGACGAGTGCGTACTTGTACAAATTGTTAGAAAATCCGATTTTCATTAAGTATTTATCAACATGTTTCTTTTCCTGTTTTTATTACTTGTACTATTAAGCCTGTTGTTAGCTTAGGAAAGCATGTCTAAGTGATTTAAATGCTTTGATTGTTCAATCTATTTACCTGAAATCTATGCAGTATGCTAGGCTAAAATTATTTGTTGCCTTAATATGAAATTTCCCCTTCTCTGATTATTTTTCTTGCTGCTGTTGTGTATTTATATTTGGGACTACGAATGTGGGATTCCGATAGCTCCCCCTTATCTGTTTACTTTGGGACTACGGGTTAGATTCCCGACAGATCCCCCTGCNTATATATATATGATGGACTACAGGACGGTATCTCGGGATATCTAATGGATAGTTGTAATTGGGACTACAGGACGATATCCTGGAAGGTACCCCAGTTGTTATCTATATGTTGAGCTGCATTTCGTTCAGTGGTTTGTTTGACTCTGTTCTCATTGTTGTTGCTCTTTCAATTCTACGTTATTTCTTACTGTTGCACATAACTATACTATTTTATTTCACATTGTTAACCTTTATATTTTATTTAACCTTAGTAGGGCCCTGACCTTTCTCGTCAGTACCTGACCGAGGTTAGGCTTGGCACTTACTGAGTACCGCTGTGGTGTACTCATGCCCTTTATGCGCATGTTTTTTCATGTGTAGATCCAGGTACTTCTTCTCAGGCCTACCCTCCTTGAGGGAGGCATCTGCTATAGAGACTTCGAGGTACATCTGCCGCGTCCGCAGGCCGATGAGTCCCTTTCCATTCTAGCTGCTAAACATTGCCCTTATGTATTTTTCTTTCTTGATAGATATTCTGGAGTTAGACTGTTAGATATTCCAAAGGCTTGTGTTCCCGTGAGTTTCTACGTTTTGGGTTAGTGTTTTAGAATTCTGAGATATTGTGCTTTATATGCCGGGCGACTTTCTATATACTATTCTTCATTTGGTTATTCTTGGTTTTTAATTTATATTTCTGCAAGTTTTCTTTATTTCCGCACTTATTAGGCTTACTTAGTCGTATAGACTAGGTGCCATCTTGACATTTTGGTGTATTCCCAGAGTCGGGAAGATCATGAGTAGCACCTGAGCACAATGCTTCAGACTCTGAGGAAAAAGAAGTTATATGAAAAGTTCTCAAAATGTGAGTTTTGGTTGGATTCCGTGGCATTCTTAGGCCACGTGGTATTGAGTGAGGGTATTCGGGTGGATCCGAAGAAGGTAGAGGCAGTGCAGAGTTGTCCTAGACCTTCCTCAGCCACAGAAATTCGCAATTTTCTCAGTTTTACGGGTTACTACCATCATTTTGTGGAGGGGTTTTCTTCGATTGCAGCCCCTATGACTAGACTGACCCAGAAGGGTGCTCCATTTCAGTGGACGGAAGAGTGTGAGGCGAGCTTTCAGAAGCTCAAGATAGCTTTGGCTACGGCCCCAGTTTTGATACTGCCTACAGGTTCGGGATCTTAAATGGTCTATTGTGATGCCTCAAGGATTGTCCTCGGAGCGGTGTTGATGCAGGACGGTAGGGTGATTGCCTACGCGTCCAGATAGTTGAAGATACATGAGAAGAATTACCCTGTCCATGATCTTGAGTTAGCTGCCATCGTTCACGCCCTGAAGATTTGGCGCCATTCTCTATATGATGTGCCTTGTGAGATTTATACTAATCATCGGAGTTTGAAGCACCTGTTCAAGCAAATGGATCTGAATTTGCGCCAAATGAGGTGGTTAGAGTTGCTAAAGGACTATGATATCACTATTCTGTATCACCCGGGCAAGGCAAATGTGGTGGCCGATACTTTGAGTCGCCGGACGGAGACTTTGGCATATTTACCAGCATCGAAGAGGCCTATGGCGATGGATGTTCATGCCTTAGCTAGCCAGTTTGTGAGATTGGATCTTTTGGAGCCCAGTCAGGTTCTAACTTGCGCCATTTCTCGGTCTTCCTTATTTGATCGTGTCAGGGAGTGGTAATATGATAACCCTCATTTGCTTTGTCATTAAGGACAAGGTTCAACATGGTGATGTCAGAGATGTGGCCATTGGTGAGGACGAAGTATTGAGGATACAGGTCCGGGTTTGTGTACCCAATATTGATGGGCTTCAGGGGTTGATTCTAGAGGAGGCCCACACTTCGCAGTATTCCATTATCCGGGTGCCTCGAAGATGTACCAGGATTTGAGGCAGCACTATTGGTGGAGGCAGATGTAGAAAGATATAGTTGGGTTTGTAGCTCGGTGCCTCAACTATCAGTAGGTGAAGTATGAGAACTAGAGACCGGGTGGGCTGCTTCAGCAGATAGAGATTCTGGAGTGGAAGTGGGAGCGGATCACCATGGACTTTGAAGTTGGGATTCTGGAGAAAGTTTGACGCTGTTTCGTTGGTTGTGGATCAGCTGACCAAGTCCGCTCATTTCATTCATGTGTGTATTACTTATTTTTCGGAGCAGTTGTCGGAGATCTATATCCGGGAGATTGTTCGTCTGCATGGTATTCCAGTTTCCATCATTTCGGATAGAGGTACTTAGTTCACATCACGGTTCTGGAGGGTCGTCCAGTATGAGTTGGGTACTCGGGTAGAGTTGAGTACAACATTTCACCCTCAGACGGACGGGCAGTCCGAGCACACTATTCAGATTCTTGAGGATATGCTCCGTGCGTGTTTGATTGAGTTTGGAGGGTCTTGGGATCAGTTCTTGCCATTGGCGGAGTTTGCTTACAACAACAGCTATCTATTCAGCATTCAGATGACACCGTATGAGGCTTTGTATGGTAGACGGTGTAGATCCCCGGTGGATTGGTTTGAGCCGGGTGAGGCTAGATTATTGGACACGGACTTAGTTCAGGATGCTTTGGAGAAGGTTAAGGTGATTCAGGATAGACTCCGTACAGCCCAGTCCAGACAGAAGAGCTAAGCGGACTGGAAGGTTTATGATGTTTCCTATATGGTTGGAGAGCGGGTTCTGCTTCGGGTTTCGCCTATGAAGGGCATTATTAGATTTGGGAAGAAAGGGAAGTTGATTCCGAGGTTTATTGGCCCTTCTGAGATATTGAGGCATGTTGGGGAGGTTGCTTATGAGCTTTCCTTACCTCCCAACTTGGCAGGAGTTCATCCGGTATTTCATGTTTCGATGCTCCGGAGGTATCACGGTGATCCGTCGCACGTGTTGGATTTCAGTTTAGTCCAGTTGGACAAGGATCTATCCTATGTTGAGGAGCCAGTGGCAATATTGGACAAGCAGGTTAGAAAGCTGAGGTCAAAGTACATTGCATCAGTCAAGGTTCAGTGGCTGGGTCAGCCAGTCGAGGAGGCAACCTGGGAGACCGAGCAGGATATGCGCAACCATTACCCTCATCTTTTCACTACTTCAGGTATGTCTCTATGCTCGTTCGAGGACAAACGAATGTTTAAGTGTAGGAGGATGTAACGACCCGGCTGGTCGTCTTAAGAATTAATGCCTCGATCCCCTATTAACTGCTTTCCCCAAGTTTGTTTCTGCTAATGCGATTTGCCGGGATGTTCGGTTTTGAGTTTCAGAGAGTTTTGGGACACTTAGTCCCTAAATGAGAGCTTAAGTATTGGAAAGTTGACCATAATCAGAATAGTGGGAAGACGGATCCGGAATGGAAATCTGATAGTTCTGTTAGCTCTGCTAGGTGATTTCGGGTTTAGAGGCGTGTTTAGATTGAGTTTTGGAAGTCCGTATCTAATTTAGGCTTGAAATGCTGAAAGTTGAATACTTGAAGTTTCCGGTTCGATAGTGAGATTTTTATCCGAGTGTCGGAATGGAATTCCGAGAGTTGTAGTAGTTTCATTTTGTCATTTGGGATGTGTGTGCAAAATTTCAGGCCATTCAGACGTGGTTTGGTTGGGTTTTTGATCAAAAGCGGAATTTGGAAGATTATAGAAATGTAGGCTTGAATCCGATGTGTTTTGGTTGTTTTGACCTTGTTTGAAGTGTTTTGAAGATTGGTACAAGTTTGAATAAGGTTTTAGGATGTGTTGATGCCTTTGGTTGAGGTCCCAGGGGCCTCGGGGTGATTTCGGATGGTTAACCGAAAAGTTTGAGGAATGTTGCAGCTGGTGTATTTTTGCTGCTTTTGGTATTTTTGCATCTACGGTTTGGGGACCGCAGATGCGGCGCCGCATCGCAGAAGAGGCTAACAGGCCGTAGAAGCGAATTGGAGGGAGGTCAGTAGGTTCCGCAAATGCGAGAGATTTTCCGCAGAAGCGGAACCGAATTAGCGAGTTTGAGGATGCAGGTGCGGAAATTGGCCATTTAATGAAAAGTCGCAGATGCGACGAAGTCTCCGTAGAAGCGGGACCACAGATGCGGTCCCAGGGCCGCAAGTGCGGTAATCGCTGGGCAGAACATATAAATAGTTGCCTTTGCGAAATTGAGCTATTCTTTCACTATTTTCATCCGGGTTTGAAGCTTTTGAGAGATATTTTTGAGGAAAACAAAGGGGGATCACTTGGAGGTAACATCCTTGACTTCATAACTCGTTTTTATGTGATTAAAGACCTAATTAATGATGATAAATTTGGGAAAAATGGGTAATTAGGGCTTGAGTTTAAGAGGCCCTTAAATGAGGATTTGAGGGGTCAATTAGACCACGATTTTAGTGTTCTTGTTATGTATAGACTCGTGAGAGTACGAGGTTTCTAAAAATGTAAATTCTACCCAATTCTGATATGTGGGTCCGAAGGGCATTTTGGACATTTTATATAATTTCGCGTATTAGCTTAGAATTTAATTATAGAATCAGTTACTTAAAGTGTTATTTATGTTATGCAATTGGATTGAATAGATTTGGGCCATTTGGAGTCGAGTACTCGTGGCAAAGGCGTGGTGTCAGTTTGATTTTGAGTTGGTTCGAGGTAAGTGGCTTGTCTAACCTTGTGTGGGAGACCTTCTCTTTAGGATTGGTATTTGGTAATTGAAATGCCTTGTACATGAGGTGACGAGTGCGTACTTGTGCAAATTGTTGGAAAATCTAGTTTTCATTAAGTATTTATCAGCATGTTTCTTTTCCTGCTTTTATTACTTGTACTATTAAGCCTTTGTTAGCTTAGGAAAGTATGTCTAAGTGATTTAAATGCTTTGATTGTTCAATCTGTTTACCTGAACTCTGTGCAGCATGCTAGGCTAAAATTATTTGTTGCCTTAATATGAAATTTCCCCTTCTCTGAATATTTTTCTTGTTGCTGCTGTGTATTTACATTTGGGACTACGGATGTGGGATTCCGGTAGCTCCCCCTTGTCTGTTTACTTTGGGACTAAGGTTAGATTCCCGGTAGATCCCCCTGCACAGTTATATGGAACTAAGGGAATGCACCCGGTAGATTCCCCTAGTACTGGGTATTTACATTTGCGACTACGGATCGGGATTTCGGTAGATCCCCGCGCAATGATAGTTGGACTACGGGATGGGATCCCAAGAGATCCTTTGGACATATATATGATGGACTACGGGACGGTATCTCGGGAGATCCAATGGATAGTTGTAATTGGGACTATAGGACGGTATCCTGGAAGGTACCCAGGTTGTTATCTATGTGTTGAGCTGCATTTCTTTCTGTGGTTTGTTTGACTCTGTTCTCGTTGTTGTTACTCTTTCAATTCTACGTTATTTTTTTACTGTTGCACATAATTATACTATTTTATTTCACATTGTTAACCTTTATATTTTATTTAACCTTAGTAGGGCCCTGACCTTCCTCGTCACTACCCGATCGAGGTTAAGCTTGGCACTTACTGAGTACCGCTGTGGTGTACTCTTGCCCTTTCTGCACATGTTTTTTCATGTGCAGATCCAGGTACTTCTACTCAGGCCTACCCTCCTTGAGGGAGGCATCTGCTATAGAGATTTTGAGGTACATCTGCCGCATCCGCAGGCCGATGAGTCCCTTTCCATTCTAGCTACTAAACATTGCCCTTCTGTATTTTTCTTTCTTGATAGATATTCTGGAGTTAGACTGTTAGATATTCCAAAGGCTTGTGTTCCCGTGAGTTTTCGGGTTTTGGGATAGTGTTTTAGAATTCTGAGATATTATGTTGTATATGCCGGGCGACATTCTATATACTGTTCTTCATTTGGTTATTCTTAGTTTTTAATTTATATTTCGCAAGTTTTCTTTATTTCCGCACTTGTTAGGCTTACCTAGTCATAGATACTAGGTGCCGTCACGACAGTTCACGGAGGGCGAACTGGGGTTCGTGACACCAAGTAAGAATATTTACATCCGCTAGTTCTTTGGACTCCATAAATAGACCTATCCATAGATCTATCTGACTAATCAGTTAACAAAAACTTCCTATAACAATTACATTATACTATATGAACTAAGGAAAATTCTTCAATTTTTCTAGTACTTTGTGCCACTTTGTTTCTCTTTGTCCTACTATATGTAACTCCATTGCAATGTCTTTGATTCTCTGATTACTGGCAACTATTTCCCCTTGAAATCTTCTTTTGTTTCGCTCTGCCCAGACATGGTACACCATTGCTGTGAATAGGAATATCAATATTTCACCTCGAGTTTTATTAGCAGTCCTTCTTTTTAACCATTCAATTTCCTCTTCCCAACTTCCAATTTGATGTTTCTCATTGAGCCATTGTAGCAGTAGAGTCCATATTGTTCTGGCATAATCGCATCTAAACCATATATGCTCCATTGACTCCTCTTCCTTTGTTGTGCATAGTACACATTCCTTTGGTACTGTTACTCCCCATCTCTCAAGTCGATCAAATGTAGCTAGTTTCCTGTGTACTTCTAACCATAGTATGAATCTGTGTTTTGGTATTGCCTTAGATCCAGTTAATACTTTTTTCCACAAGCTTTTCTGAAATTGAGGTCTCATAGAAATATATAGCTTTTTAATGCTAAATTTGCCATTTCTATAGTACTTGTGTAACTCAACACTTGTATACTTTTCCAGAAACCAATATCTGATATCAAAAATCTTCCTAACAAGCCAACATGCTTGTTTAGGAGTATCCATCCTCATGCTATCTTGCCATTTGATGTAATAACTATGTATCTATTGTATCCAAAGGGTATCCTTCTTTGCACTAACAACCCATAGTAGTTTACATAGTGCAGATTTGTTCCATATATGAATGTCTAGTACATTTAACCCACCTGCTGAGAAAGGCATAAATACTGTATCCCATGCAGTTAAAGCTCTTCTTGATGGCTCATCCCTTCCTGTCCATAGAAAAGTTCTACAAGCTGAAATTATTAGCTTAAGAATTTTCTTTGGCAGTAAAAACACATGTGCCCAGTAAGTCTGCATTTCAAAGATTACACTTTTTAGCAATTGGAGCCTTCCACTGTATGATAGTAGCTTAGCAGTCCAGTAGTTGATCCTAGTTGTGATCTTCTCAATCAATGACATACACTATTGAACTGTCAGCTTCTTAGAGGATAATGGTACTCCAAGATATTTGAATGGTAGTTCCCCTAGTGTAAATTGCATCTCTTCTAGAATCATCTCTTTGAATTCCTTTGTAACACCTGCAATGTATAAAGAACTCTTCTCCATGTTATCTTTCAGGTCTAATACTTCTGAAAAATGATTAAATCTGTCTATCAACAATATGATGGATACTCTATTAGCTCTACAACACATGATCAGATCATCTGCAAAGCATATATGAGTAATATTGTTTCTGGAACACTTTGGGTGATACTTAAAGTCTAGGTTCTCCTTCAGCTTCTTCAATGCCCTATTCAGATATTCCATCACCAATACAAAAAGTTAAGGAGACATTGGATCTCCTTGTCTTAGCCCCTTTCCCCCCTGAAATTTAGCTGTTAACCCTCCATTTAGTATCAATGAGTAGCTGACAGTAGAAACACAGTTCCTCATTAGCTCTACAAACATGGTAGGCATATTATACTCCATCAATATCATTCTTAGAAAACGCCATTCTACTGAGTCCCTTATGTCCACCTTTATACATCATCTTGGCGAGACTCCCTTTTGAGTATATCCCTTAACCAGCTCATGTGCAATAATGATATTATCAAGAATGTTTCTCCCTTCTATAAAAGCTGACTAAGAAGGTCCCACAATGAGTCCACTACCAGCTTCAGTTTTGCTGTGAGAATCTTGGATATGATCTTGTACACTGTAGTACAACAGGCAATAGGTCGAAACTCTTTGACAGAGTTTGGGCTAGCAACCTTAGGTACTAGTGTAATTGTTGTGCAGTTAATACTCTTAAGCAACTTCCCAGTGTAAATTCCTGTACAGCTTGCTTGACTTCTCCTCCAATTATGTGCTAGTATTCTTTGAAAAACTCTGCTGGAAAGCCATCTATCCCTGATGCTTTTTCATTTGGTAGCTCCTTCACTGCCATATCAATATCTTCCATAGTTACTGGGGCAATAAGCAATTGTTGTTGCTCTTTTGTAAGGCAGTGTCCATTTCTAGCTGTTGCAATATCAATACAGGGGATCTCACTTGCTGAAGTGCCCAATAAGCTTTAGAAGAAACTTTTGAATTCTCGTTCAATGTACTTTGGTTCTGATACTCTCCTATCTTGTTCATTACAAATAGATGCAGTTTTGTTCCTTGCCTGCCTATTTTTTAGTTGAGCATGAAAATATTTAGAGTTTCTATCTCCTGCTTTTATCCACACTACTCTGGACTTTTGTCTGAGAACCTGTTCATTCACCCCTTCCCATTTTTCAGTTTACATAATCAACTCTCTTTCCTGCTCAATTAACTGTTGATTGAGAGGGTCATCATCCAGTTTCCTTTGAGTATTCTGCAGCTCCATTCTTAGATTCAGAATCTTCTTCTCTAATGAGTTTATCTCCTTGTTCATTTGCCTGGTTCTATTCTGTAGTTTTTGCAGCTTAATCCACACAGACTACATAACATACCCCTCAATTCTTTGGTTCCAGACCTCATTCACACTATCCTTGAACTCCCTTTGATATAGCAGAACATTGTAAAGCCTAAAAAGCTTTTGTAAGTGGTTCTTTACCACTTCAGTGTTTATCACAATAGGTGAGTGATCAAAAATCCCTGGCAGTTCATATATAGCTTTTAGGCTACTATACTTTGTAAGCCAAGAGTCATTTCCACCCAATCAATATTGCTATAGATTCTATCTCCTCCATCCTTTTTTATTGCACCATGACCATTGACAGCCTTTTCTATTCAATTTCCCCACTCTAATGTCTCTTATACAGTCTTTGAAATCCACTAATTTATCTTGATGTATAGGTAGAACACTATTAAAATCTCCTATGACCAACCAAGCCTCTTGCATTATGCTATGAATCTGCCTTGGTTGATCCCATAACTCCCTCCTTTCATGCACTTTGTTCTTTCCATATACAAAAGTGATGTAACATGAGAATTGTGACCCTCATTCCTTCACTTGGCAATGGATCAATTGAGTATTAACCATCAACATTTGGACTTGGACCATACTGTCCTTCCAAAATAACCATAACCTCCCAATAGGACTTATCTTTTCATCTGAAAACACTTGCCAATCCTTACAGAACTTACTTTTAACTTTGCTAACACTTCTAGGCTTTATCTTTGTCTCAAGGCAGCCTAGGAAAGTGATTTTATGCTTCAGCAGAAAGTCCTTGAGTCCTCTTTGCTTGTAGGGCTTATTTTGCCCTCTTATATTCCAAGAGCTTATGATCATGGTGGATTTTCCTCATTGAGGCCAATCCCTTCAATCAACTTTATAGTGCTGCAATCCTCTTGTATTCTCAGAGAGCTATACCTATTAGTCATTAGCAGCTTCTCTATCTCATTGTCATTTTGAGCTCTCTTGTTTTGTATCTGTACTTTCATCTTCTGCTTTCCTTTGGATCTTTGATGTGGCTGGAATGCCTCTTCTTTTTCAGCATTCTGTTCTGCTTTCTTCTGTTGTTCTTGTTGCTTCTGCTACTTCTCACTTGTCTCCCCATTCTATTCTTTCCCTGTCTCCTGTTGTGCTAGTATTTCTGATTGCTTAACAGCTTGTGTTACTTTTGATTGCTCAACAGTAGCAGATTTTACTTTCCATTGTGTTTTCCTCTTCTGTTGCTTGAATGGTTTCCCTTGTTTTGTTGTTTCTCCTCCTTGTGCTATTGCTTTTATGTTGGGGACTTCTCACAGTTGAAATCATGTTAACCTATTTGGAAACACACTTCACATAATGAAGGTCTCCATTCATAATCTAGTACTTGCTCCATAAATTTGCCATCAGCCTCCTCAATTAGCATTCTGTCCGACAATTCCTGAGAGACATCCATTTCAATTAACATTCTCGTATATGATATTCTATCTCCTTCTATCGTTAATCTATCAGAACATATAGGTTTCACTATATAGCTTGCTATTCGACCTAGATTCTCCTTTGTCCACTATTCAACTGGTAACCCTGGAAATAGTACCCAAATTGGGACATTTCGTGTCATTTCTTTACTCATCTGAAACCTAGGCACCCACCATTTCAGTATAAAAGGTCGATTATGAAATGTATATGGTCCTCATTGAATAACTTTGTTCTTATCATCTTCAGATTCAAATTTGAACACAAAATATCCATCATCATAAAGAAATACCTACGGAATTGCTACGAAGTTCCACACGCCATATACGAATTTGAGCATCTCTTTGAAGGATGGATTTCCACCCAATACATACCCAATTAGTGCTGCTTGCCACTTCTGGGTTTGCTCAGCCACCTCTACTTGATTCAGACGAACCACCTTTACTCCTTCTCTGATAATTGAGGGATAGTACTCCAATTGCATCCCCTGTTGTTAAGATCTATTGCCTTTAACCACCTCAGCTAGTGTCGTCTTTGTTCCCTCATGGTTTGAGCGTTGATTTGAGAATGTGAGCTTCCTAGTTGTTGTGTTGTTAACTACCTCTACTGGTTGAGCCTTCTCCATTTTAGCACACTTTGAAGCTTGCATGACAGTTGGTGCACTTCCCATCCCAGTCATCCAGTGTACTAATTGCATTTGACTTACCGTTTGTGGAATCTCCGACTCCGGTGTTACCATTATTTCTCCTTCTTCCGCCTTCGGTTTAGCTAGCAGTACTGTTGCCTGTGATTTCTGTCGAGTCATCGTGATGTGCGTACGTTAACTATCCCTGCATAACGTGCACCTTCAGAGAGCATAACAGAAGTCACTTATTTAATAAGTTTGGAGAATAAATACTTTTTCTACATCATGAAAAGAAAATACCCATTTTGTTAAAAACGAAAATAGTTTTTCTACAACATGAAAAGAAAGTATCCATTTTGTTAAAATAAAAATTCTACGTCATGAAAAGAAAGTATTTATTTTATTGCAATGAAAGAAAAAAAACTGTAGATCATAAAAGAAAATATTCATTTTGTTGAAATAAAAAGAAAAATACTCTATCTACAACATTAAAAGAAAATACTCTAAATGATATTTCTATTTAGGGATGGGGCGGGGGTTCAAAGGTAGGGAGGGGGTTGGGGGGTTGGGGGGTTGGGGTGGTTGGGAAGTTCTAGTTTTACTACTTTTGAATTATTCTGATCTTTAGTACAATAAGATGAGGAATTATCAAATAAAATTTTAAATCCAAATTGAGGAAATAAATCATTTGGCATGAATTGAAATTTATTCAAAACATAAGATAATTTTTATGTATGCTTGTTTAGAAGTTGAGAATATTGCAAAGAGTTGGGTTACAACTCATTGTTTTGCCCATCTTGACCCAGCCTATCATAACTCAAGTGAACTTTGGGCGGGGTAGGCAGACCCTTTACTGAGTTAGTCAATCTTGACCAGCACAAATACAACTCAAATAGCTCATTTGTCATCCTTCGGTTTAAGTACTTCTACTCCTACCGAACAAAGAATGTAGTTGATTCGTATGTTTAGTTCAATATGCTTCTCTGTGTATTTATTAGCGGGGATCTTGTGCAAATACCCACCCACCGCTGTCACGACCCAAAACCTGACCCGTCGTGATGACGCCTATCGTCAAACTAGGTCGGCCTCAACTTAACAATCAACACGATAATAACAAGTTTGAAAACATTTACAGAAGCCTTTAATAGTTAAAGAACTATTTGAAACATATGAAATTTCAAGAATAAATACAATCCAGCCCAAAACCGGGGTGTCACTGAGTACATGAGCGTCTAAGGAACATACATAGTATACTATAATGTCTAAGGGAGCAACTGAAATACAATAAGTATGTAAGGTGGAGAGCCAAGGCCTGCGAACGCCATGCAAGTACCTCAATAATCTTCTAAGTCAGAGCCTCGATCAAACATCCGTCACTGGATCCATAGTTCCTGAATCTGCACACAAGGTGCAGGGGGTAACGTGAGTACACCAACTCAGTAAGTAACAAGTCCAACCTTTGGACTGATAGGTAGTGACAAACTCAACCTCCTCACGGAATAACATAAATAATGTACAGAAATGTAGGCATTCTTTCAGTTAAATAAATGGCTTGAATAGTAAAACAGAGCAAGTATGAACAAGGTAAAGGAGTGTAACTCAGCTACATCTACATGTCAATGCACATGCTGTATGGAAATGCACCATGCTGAGTGCCTCATGTGCCCACAACCTCAAATGCTCGTCCACTCAGTACTGTATATGGCTAATGCGGCCCAGGGAAGATCCATCCCAGAATATATACATCTCTGATAGCAATCAATCAGTACTGAGGAAGGCCATTCCAGCCTACGGAGAAGATCCATCTCTAGATAATATCAATAACAAACT